TTGGGATTACAGACATGAGCCATTGTGCCCGGCCAGGTCTGGTCTTTTAAAACTTTTTTAAAGTTCCTAATGCGTAGCCAAGGCTGAGAATCACTGTTAGCGATTTATCCTGTCTCTCAGACTCTCAATTCTTTTATGTAATAATTTTAATCTATTAATTTACCCCAGATTGCAAATTTGCCTAGATCCTATAGGTTTGTATGGTCTTATATTTTATTATATACTTTTATAGAGATTTTATTTTATACATTTATATAAATTTTATCTTTATACTTTTTATATTTTAAAATTTATTTTTGGTACAATTATGATGAGTGACAATTTTTGTTTATAGGTACATTATACACTTCTAGTTGTATCACTTTGTGATCAGTGAGTATAACTTGTGTCATTTTACTGTTTTTAAAATTTATTAAAATTTTTGTGAATTAGCATATAAGTTTCAGATCTATTTCTGTAAATATATATATTGTCATGTATAAAGGAGCCATCCTCTATATGCAACACAAAATTTATTATCATTTATTTCCTTGATTATGGGACTTCATAATCATAAGAGAAACCATTGATTTAATAATAGCTTTTTCAGGAAGAGTAAGCAACATTGTATTAAATGTACACAAATTTTTATTGTCTACTAACATATAGAGCACGCATTTATCCTTACCATTATGTCCCTTTTATAGTATTTCACAATTTAAGTCTGAGCCTTTTTCATAAAATCGAGCTTAAACATATTAAACTTGGACATGTGATGTTGACCTCTTTATAAAATGTTGAGGTTATTGAACATTGCCAATGTTTTGTCTTTCTTTCCTGATAGCTTCTCTAGAAATTCAGCTGTAAGTTTTTGACACTTAGATGTTTGGTTCCTGAAGTAATAGTCTTTCTGACTCACGTATTGGCCACATCAGCCTCCCCATTTTTAAAAATTATATGATTTATTCTAAGAGATTAGGCTTTGGCTTTTGCCTTACAGTTGCATGGTCTAGCCTGCAATGGACAACCTTCTCCACGCAATTATTTTTTGTGTCATACTGTATCAGACAACAATTATTTTCAAACATTTTAAGTGAAAATTAGGAATCTAGTGTTAAAATCCAGCTGTTTGGGATATGCAATGCAAAGCAAATAACTCAACTGACATGAAGATAGGATAGATCCTACTCTACAAAGCTAAATTTGCACCATACATCAAGTTGGAACTACTTGCCCATCAAAATGCATTCTTGATTGCTTTGAGATTCTTTTTGCTTTAATTGTAAGAAGATCCTGAATTCAGAAATATTAACATTTAAAATTTTTCCTTTGTAATGAGGAAATCATATACCTGTTATTTAAAGCTAATTGATTTCAGATTTCAGGGTTTTTTTCTTTTTCTTTTTTTCTTTTCTGTCACCCAAACTGGAATGCAATGGCATGATCATGGCCCACTGCAGCCTTGATTCCTGGGCTCAAGCAATTCTCCTGCTTCAGCTTCCTGAGCAGCTTGGACTATGAGGCATGCACCACCATACCTGACTAGTTAAATAAAGGAAAATTGTTGGAGAGACGGGGACCCGTGTGTCGCCCAGGCTGGTCTAGAACTCTTGGCCTAAAGTGATTCAATCCTCCCGATGTAGCCTCCTAAAGTGTTGGGATTACAGGCATGATCCACTGTGCCCAGCCTAAGGTTTTATATCCTCTAGACTAAGATTAAAATTCCAAATGCCTTGAGGATCAGGCAGGTAACCTCATATAATATCATAGGGTCTGCAGAGGCCTGTGGAGGACTGAAGATCACATGCCCCCACCAAATGATATATATATATATTCTGTTTTCAAGAAAATTGCAGCCAGTTACATCCTCTAGGACCTTATTTTTCTTTTTTCTTTCTTTTCTTTTTTTTTCTTTCTTTTTTTTTTTTTTTTTTTTTTTTGAGATGGCGTCTCACTCTGTCACCCAGGCTGGAGTGCAGTGGCACAATCTTGGCTCACTGCAACCTCCACCTCGCCGGTTCAAGTGATTCTTCTGCCTCAGCCTCTTTAGTAGCTGGGATTACAAGCATGTGTCACCACACCCGGCTAATTTTTGTATTTTTAGTAGAGATGGTATTTCTCCATGTTGGTCAGGCTGATCTCCACACCCCTGACCTCAAGTGATCCACCTGCCTCGGCCTCCCAAAGTGCTGGGATTACAGGCGTGAGCCAACGTGCCCAGCTTAGGACCGTATTTATCTAGTTTCTGCTTGATATCGTAAGTGATGATAACACCTTACATCATAATTATGTTCCTATAAATTTTCATTTTTAACAGTTTTTATTTTAGGTTCTGTTTTCTGGATTCTCTGATACATCAAGTTCCATTGCAATTAGATCATTTATTTTTGCAAGATCACTTTTTAATCTATTTGGTGTCTCTCCTCTTACATTCTACTTTGCCACATTTTACAATTTCCTCTTCCTCTTCCTTTTTTATCTTTCCATCTCTACCTCATTCTGACTTGCTCTGTATCTTTCATGCTGGAGTTTGACAGCCCTGTATTCTCATGGGACCAGAATATGAAATATCACTCTGTCCCTCATCTGGACATATTGAAGCCCAACCTAAGATAATGGCTTTCCTTTTCTCTTTATTTCAATTTAGCATCCTTCTCTTTTAATGCATCATTTGATTGATAAATATTTAATGATTACATACATGACAGTTGACCTATGCCAATTGTCAATTGACCTGTGCCAGTGCAGTCATTCACAAATTTATACTGGTAGCATTCAGTATATAGAGGGGGGTGAGAGCCAAGAATGTTCTCTCTACACTTTCCTACTTGATTACAAAGAAAAAAAAATCTCAGATTAAATATTACCTACCCTGAAAGTTTGATGAAGCCCCAGCTCTTTCTCCTTTTACGTGTTCTAACATCTTTTTTTCCTTAAAAAAATTTTTTTTAAAAAAATTATTTTTGAGACACAGAGTCTCATTCTGTCACACAGGCTGGAGTGCAGTGGCGAGGTCGTAACTCACTGCAGCCTCAATCTCCTGGGCTCAAGCGATCCTCCCACCTCAGTCTCCCTAGTAGCTGAGACTACAAGTACATGTAACCATGCCTGGCTAATTTGTAAATTTTTTTGTAAAAACAGGGTCTCATTATGTTGCTCAGGCTGATCTTGAACTCCTGGGCTCAAGTGATCCTCCTGCCACAGGCCTGGGCCACTGTACCCAGCTCCCTCCCTCTACTTTTTAAAAGTTGAAATATAATTCACATAACAAAAACTCACCATTTTAAAGTGTCCAACATGACTCAGTGTCTAATATCTTTTTTTTAACTGAGGTAAAATTCACATAACATAAAATTAACCATTAGCCATTTTAAAGTGCAATTCAGTGACATTTAGCATATCCACAAGGCTGTGCAACCATCACATCTATCTAGTTCCAAGACTTTTTTGTCACCCCAGAAGGAAACTCTATACTTGTCCAATAGCATCTTATCTGAAATGTTCACTCAATACAAATGTGACAGCATTCTAGCAATGGGGTTTAGCTAACCTAATTGGAGTCAGGCCAGACAAATTCCTTAAGAAAGCAGCTGAACATAGGACTATTTGGGAATGAAGCCAAAGGTGCCATTTTGAAGGGAGTAGATCTCTGGGCTCATCAGACTCTTAGAACCTGTTCCTGTAAGGACAGTGCCTGGTTAGTATTTGTCACTGGTACGTGCATTTTGAATATACTCATTTCACTAAAATTTATTTCTAACATCACTTATGGCAATTGACAAAGCTTCTTATGTTGATCAGAGAATAAGCTACTGAGTCATTTTGTTAGCTACTTCTGAAGTGTGGGCTTCTGATAAAAATTTGCTAAGCACTCCTGGAGTATATATTCTTAATTAGGTTAACTGACCACCACCCCTAGAGGGTAGATTGCATCTAACAGACTCACTCATATATATCATATTGTCCACATTAAATAACCCTGGAGTTACATCATATGCACAGTTAACTTTTGCAACTTCAATTATAAAAATTGATCAAAAGCGAGAAACACAGAGAATATTTAAATGGAGCTCTCACAGAGCTTGAGCCACAGGTCAAGCTTGAAATGGTAGCCTGAATCTACTTTTCCCACAGTTGTCCTCAGTTACCTTGTCGTGCTCAGTGTGTGAGCAGGATGCCATATTAAGAATGTTTCCAATGGTTAAAGATATATATTATTCATACAACATGGCACCTAAGCATAAAGAAATGATTTTAACTGGTCTTCAACTGAAGAAGCAGGCAGTCATCTGCTTCAATATGGGAGAAAAATGGGCTGTGTTTTACTTTACTGAGAGGCACAGTTTTCTAAAGTAGTTAAGGAATTTTCAAAGATATTTTTGACTATCTCTGAATTTTACCATAACTGCTTTAGAATCCACCTGTCCTTCCCTTCCTTATTCCCTACCGCCCCCATACAAGATGAGTCTGAGTCTAGCATTGGGCTAGGCTCCTTGAGGTTCCCGAAGTGTAAGGTGGCGTCTCCAGGGCATTGGATGAATTTCAGATATGCCTGCTTGGATTGCCTGAAGGCAAGCAATCGTCTGGACTAACAGTCAGGATAATTTTATGCCAGAACCAAGGCAGCTTTGTGTTATTGTTAATGGGAAAAAAATGACAAAACTTATTCATCTTGTGAGAAAGAATATTTTGTCTCTATAACACATACATTTAGAATCCCACTGTGAAATCCCAAAGGCAGACTCTAGTTCAGTTTATGGTAGAGCTGAACGATGGATGTATTACTTGAATATCATTTCCTTGTTCTAACCAGATGGTGATAAAAGTATAAAATAATCTTTATGTATTGTATCTTAGATTGTATATCCATTCGCATAGCTGATGTGTAGAATGTCTTCTTGGAAAAATTCTCTCTACTTTTTTCTTTATATTAACAAAAAGTATGCACGCAGCTGCTATGTTGATTTTAAGTTTGCTGAATTTTCTTTTCATTTCTTAGTTTCTAATTATGATTCCAACAGGTATTATCTTTTGATGCCTATTTGGAAGAGGAAGTACTTGATAAAAGCCAAACCAACTACAGAATAAGATACTACAAAATCTACTTCTACCCTGAAGATGACACAATACAAGTCAATGAACCAGAGGTGAAAAACAGTGGATTGCTTCAAGGTATCTATTTAAAGCAGAGTTATGGTTCCTTCACTTCTGACTCCTGCCTTTATATACTGCCTGCCTTTAGCTTTTCAAAAGACTGAGTGCTACTGTTTAGGCTGTCTAACCTGCTGGCAATGGTGAATATAAACATGCCATTAGCATGTAGTTATTGATGGTGACTTACCAGCTTTCTACCCTCTGCACCTCAACATTGGCTGGGTCTCTCACTCCTCTGTGGCATATTTTTATCCTTTCAGGTGCTGCTCTGGTATGAGTAAACTCTCCTGTGCCTTTAACTTTTTCCTCAAACCCTTTGGTCACTTTGCTGTGAGCAGATCACTTCCTTCACAACACCATTAGGGGAGAAGAGAAAGCTGTTCTCTACTGCAGCTTCCAGATTGGCATTCTTTTCTTTCTTGAATTTACTGTCATTTGTTTCAACCACCCCCTCCTCATCCTCATACCTGGTAACTACAGACTTCAATGGTACCTCACCAGAGAGTCATTGTTCCTTCACCCTGTGTATGCCAGTCATCTTTGTTCATACTCCTCTCAGCCACAGATAAGAGTTAACTCTGTGATGTGGCCACCAGAGAAGCTAATCCTATGTTGCATTAAGTATGACAGAGATCAATGGAGGTGACTGATTTCTTCTGTTTGTGCTGTGGGTCCTTCTCTTGGGATGCTGCTGAGTTCTGGTTGACTTCAGGGGACAGCAACTACGACGGTGAAAGAACTGAACATTTGCCATGTGCAAGACAGAATAGTGAAAAGGGGATATTTGTCTGTAATGGGGAGACTCAAGTGTGCTTGATAAATGTCCTCAGGAATCTAAAGGTGTCATGTGGAGAAGGGGTGACCTTATTTCTGTATCTTCATGTCTTCATGGATGGGACCTAGGGATCAGAGTTCAGGTCAATAAGAGGAAGAGCTTTCTGGCAGAGAGCTGCTGGAAGTTGTAGGGAATGGACCTGGATAGGGTTGGGGTTAGGGGTCTGGTGTAGGGGCGGAGGAGAGGAGAGTCACAGACTTGTCTGTTCCCTCGTGTAAATAGATGGCCCTGGGGGCAGGTCAGGGGTTGTTTTTCACTGACAGCCTGCTAGAAGTATGAGACGATTTGAGTGTTTGTTTGGTCGCTGGTGTAAATGACCTTTCAGGGTACTTAGTTCCTTGAGGAGCTGATTCTTGGGTGTGTTGTTGTTTCTTTGCCTTTTAGAGTATTGCCACCTCCAGTATCTCAGTCTCTGAAATTGCCTTCTCTAACTATAATCTCTACTCCTTTTACTTTCCCCACTTGCTCATAACTACCATCCCTATTCTTCATTCTCCTAGAAAAACATATCCTGAATATGTCCATGTCTTTCTATCCCCTTCTGTACCATCCTCATTCAAGTTACCCTCATCTGTTGACTAGAGGAATGGAATATCTGCCTAACGTGATCTCTCTGTTTCCATTCTTGCTCCTCCTACAATCTGTTCTGTATGCGGCAGGGAGAGTGTTGTGTGGGATGTCACCTATATGCAGTGGTGGCCTTTGAGAATTATACATGCAGGCTGTCCCAGAGGCCACAAAACACAAGGCTTATGGATCACATTAAAATCCATGAATCACATGATACATTAAGGTAATTTAAAACACATGATGAGAAACAAGAGGGAAAGAGATAGGGTAGGTTCACACACTTGGGACAGGGTACAAGTAGGCAGAAGGACCATACTGCCTGAATCCTGGCATCAGCAATGGTTCTGTCTCTGCTTCACTAACCTTCCCTGCTACTAGTATGGTTTGGAGACCAGAATTGAGGGTCAAGCAAGTAGAACCACAGACAGAAGGGGCCTCAGGCTGAGGGCACACACTTGCTCTGTTGGAGAGATGCAGGGAGAAGTGTGCCTGGCCATGGCTGTAGCTTGTCAATAAGCCTGCTGAATAGTCTTGGGTTTTGTTTGTGTTTCTTGGGCAGAGGTCACATGGGGCCAAAATGGGTGTCACCGATGAATGAGTGGCCAAATTGAGGCCTCATAAATATTGGGTGCTCATGAATATTTAGTGTCCCTTCTATATTTAACATATCATGAATATTTAGAGCCCAGGTGCCTCATGTATATTTACGACCTACTGAAGATCAGTTATCTTTTGGTTTTTCCATCCCTTTCTTTCTATGTTTAACATGCCCATGCTCTACTTAGCCTACCTTCCTATTGTTATTTAACACATCTCATGATTTCTGCCTATGTTGAACAAATTTTGCTTTCTAATTACTAATCTAGGCCTGAGGGCTCTGTATTGATATACCACAATGAGTACAAGGGGGAGAAGCAGGAATTTGAGGGCCATGGGCTCTGAGAATAAGGTGGTCATGCAACCTCATTACATTGACTTCCTTCAATGCTCATGAGATTGAGGTTTTTCTTAGAGCGTGGCTTCATCGTGTCTGGTGGTTGGAATAATGAATTTGGAGCCAGCCAGCATTGCCAAGAAGTGTTTGTTGGATGCCTACTCTGTGTCAGGCACTGTGCTGTGTTTTGGGAAAATGGACAAAAGGACTGAGTCCCATCATAGCCCTATCTCATGGAGCAATAATAGGCCACCAGATTGGAAAGGAAAGGGAGCAAGGCCACCAGTCCAAGAGTTTTGCAATTGTTCAGGCTAGAAATGCTGAGTGTCCAAACCAGGACAATGATTGTAGGAACAGAAAATTAGGGAAGGATTTGAGAGACATTTGGTTGGCAGAGTTGATAGGCATTGGCCTGTGATTAAATACAGAGAGTGAGGAGGGGGAATATCTAATGAAAAAGTGCCTACCTTATCATTATCTCATTTAATCTTCTGATGACCATCTAAAATAGTTATTGTCACTGTCAGCTTTTACAGAAAAGGAAACAGGCGTAGGGAGGTAGTTTGCTCAGTCTGTTTTGCATTGCTCTAAAGGAGTACCTGGGGCTGGGTAATTTATAAAGAAAAGAGGATTATGTGGCTCACAGTTCTGCAGACTGTCCAAGAAGCATGGTACCAGCTTCTGCATCTGGTGAGGCCTCAGGAAGCGTTTACTTGTGGTGGAAGGTGAAGGGAGAGCAGGCATGTCACATGGCAAGACGGGGAGCAAGAGAGAAAGGAGGGGATGCCGGGCTCTTGTTAACAATCAGATTTTACGGTTACCAACAGAAAGAACTCACTCATTACTGCGAGGACAACACAATGACATTCATATGGGATCCACCCCCATGACCCAAACACCTCCCAGCAGGCCCCACCTCCAACATTGGGGATCACATTTCATCATGAGATTTGGAGGGGACAAATATCCAAACTGTATCGGCCTCAGAGGTCTCTGTGGTTGAGTCATGATACCTTTATAAAGCCCAGGAGCACAGAGCAAGAAACAGGATTGGGATTTGAAGCTGGGGTATGTTTCAGGGCATGAGGCCTTTGAAGGGGTGTTAGGACATCTGTGTGGTGATGTCCCTCCAGGCAGGTGGAAACTTGGGATGTGTTTTCAGGAAAAGAGTCAAGACTAGAAATGGAGATTGGGAATCAGAGGTGCCCAAATCATGACCAGGCTATTCTACCATGTTAGAGGAGAGCCACTGGTGAGGTGACGGAAAGAGAAAGAGAATTCAGTTTAGTGTCTCTACTTGGTTTTACTAGTGGTGGGAAAAGAGGAAGATTAGTATGAGGAGGTATTATGAGCTGTCCTCATTGTTCTTTGTGTTCCAACTGACACACTATCCACTCCCTGGCCATTTTATTTGGTGAATTTGGCTTAATGGTAAATCTTTCAGGAAATAGGGAAATACCTTAACATTTTAAAAACAGGTTTTCACAAATTTTAAGGTTAAAAGTATGACATTTTACAAAGAGACAAGAGGTTTTAGATTCTTTAGGGTCATTTAAAACATATAAGGCAGTTTTTAAAGAGTGGCGAGAATGCATTAGAAAATGGTTGAAGATTATTTAAGAACAAAGAATTTACAATTTATAATTTCTGTGGATATCTATTTTACTTATGTGTATTTGATTATGTAATAGTATTGCTGTAGCAAAAAAAAATTCTTACAGGTTTTTATCGAAACATTTTGTTCTGATATTCTGTAACTAAGCTCTGCTTATTTTCTGATTACTTTCCCACCATGACACCAAACTTGCAAAAATGATAGACTGGAGGTCACAGGACACCCCAGGCCTGGGTTAGTGACTTGCATTATTGTTTTCATTATTACCTTTCAAGTGAAAGCTCATAATCCTGTAGCTCACTGGCTCCTGTCCAGTTCATCTTAGTTTTATTAAACTATCCAAGAAGAAATATGAAATGTGACTTCTTTTAGAATCTTGGAAAGGCTTTTATTAAGACTTCAATTCTTTCAGACTCTTGATTTCAAATCTCACATAGGCAGATTCCAAAGGCAAGCCGAAGATAGTCATAATGATGTACTTGAAAATCATTCTTGTGTAAGGAGGGAGGAATGCTATCATAAAGGCTCAGGAAAAAAAGACCTGAGTAAAAGACAATTTTAAAGTCTCTGGAAATTTTCCGAATTTTTTATTGGTTCACTGTGGTCAGGACATTTCCCTGTGTGAAGACACAGCTCAAGAGTTGTGTATAGAATACACAGTAATCATGCTGCGTAATGACATTGAATTTGTTAGCAGAGTAGAGAAATTTGGAAGGCTGTAGCAAATCCTGTAGAAAGCAAACATGAATAACACTCTGTCACCAAGCTTTGTTTAGAGAGAAACCAGTCTCTCTTGAAATATTTAATATGAGAATTCTTGTTAAGGAAGGTCTATTTGGACTGCAGATAGTTTGAAAAATCATTTAAATGCCTTCTTCGAGCTTTTCTAAATTAAGTGATTGGAAAAAAGAAAACACACTTAATGAGCCAGTGGTTCAGATGTCAGTGGGACAGGGTAGGTAGTGTTTCTTTCAGTTCTGACGAGTGGCCTGGGCTTGCTTTCCATGCATCTGGGCCCTGGGAAGAGGCAAATGGTCAAGATTAGGTGCTGTGCATTAATGGTC